TTATTTTAATTGGTCAATTATTTTAATTTTTATAATTTTAAGAATCTATTAAAACAGTCTATAATCTAAACAGTCTATTAAAACAGTCTAAATTAAATTTTATTGATTAGAAATAATACTTATCACAATTTATATTCCTGCACATCTATTGGCAGTAGAAATAAATTTTTATATATCTCTTGATAAAATTATACCTTGAGTGAGATTAATTTAAATAAACATTTTAATTATATTCACTACCTAAAATTAATTTTATTAAAATTAATTTCCAGCTTTATTAAAGAAAAGGTAAGATTCAGATGTCAAACTATCGAATCACGTAACGTTAATGTATATAATTTAAATATTTATACGTATGTTAATACTTTTAAATAGTTTAATAATATATTATATAGAAATAAAACAATGTTTATATTAAAGAAATTTTAAATGCAAAATCAATTATTTGTTTCTGCGTATTATTTTCCTTGAATTAATTTGTACCGAGCATTTCATGTGTTGCTTTCAAATTCAATGGAATGAATTACACCAACATTAATTTATCAATTGGTAAGAATCCATTTAAATTACAAAAAAAATATCGATCCAATGAAATTTTAGGAATTCGACATTAATAAACATTTGATTAAATAATACTCCTTCTATTTTAAGGTTTTAATAGTTATTGGGTTGGAAGCTGACACTCTTCCGATTGACACGGTCAACTTATTTATTTCACAGTTCCCAATGCAATATTGGTTCCCTCACAGCCTGTAAGAAATGTCGACCAGCAACCTCATTCAATGTGTTTGCCAAATATTTATAGGGTGTTGTTAATCACTGTCTCAAGTAGGGATGGCAATGGGTAAATTATTTGATAGGTATCCACAAAATTTATTCACAATATGAGAATAGGTGTGAATATAGATATCTAAGTACCCATCTCGTCCCATACCCGCATATATATATATGCTTGAACTTTATTCTACAATTATGCATTAAATTTTTGTATTATTATATTATTTATGTGAAGTTATATAAGATTAATATAAAAATATATTTAATAATAAAGTAAACCAAAAAATTTATTTTAGTTTATATTTTTAATAGAAAAATTTATTTACTATTTTATATTATTTAATTAGATTAACACAATTTAATTATTATATAGTTAATATGAAATTGACTTTTTTTAAAATATTATTTATATATGACACATATAAAATATTTTTTACACAAATATTTTTGTTAATAAAATCATATTGATGTTTAAATCATAAAGTGAATGATAAATCATAAATATATTATAAATATTTTATAAATTTTACAATCACATACTATTACCGTAAACTTATTATTTATTAATAACATTTAAATTTTATTTTTTATATTTTAATTGAAAATAATATTTTTCTATATAACATATGTATTACAAGTACAATTATAATCTATTGAATCTAAATAATATTATTCTTACTATTTATTCACATTCAAAGAAATTTTTGAAAAGATATAAATATAAAAAATTATTGTTAATTTTTCAGATAAAAAAGTATAATTTTTTAATATACACGTATATTTCTTTATTATAAAATTTTATTGTAACTATTTATCTTTTATTCAAATTCTTTCTTTTAAAATTTATATACATTATAAATATTTAATTCACTAAAATAATTTTTTAAAAATTTATATTTTTTATAAAATACTTTCGTATAGTATATGAGTTAAAAAATACTAGTATTAATATATATATATATATATATTATATTATATTATATTATTTTTCTTACAATTTCAAATTCAAAAGTTAAAAAAAAAAATTTATGTATCCACTTTCTGTTATTAGTATTGAACTTCTCTACTCTAACTCTATTCTCATTCTCAATGTCTGTCTTACTAAAACTTAACTATGAAACGTTGTTCATTAGAATTAGTTGTCAATTCACAAGAAGTTACTAAGTGATACCACACAAAGGGACAACTATTGTACAGATTTATTTCGTTGTCGCTCTGACATTACCAATCAATCAAATCTCACACAAGATAGGATTATCACTGACAAATAACTTGTGTGTTTAGTTTTGCTTATTGTTTCTAAGAATTTTAGTTTAGAAAATTATTATATTAAGATACATTTAATGTTTATGATCTTTGAATATTTATTTGTTATCTATGTTTGTATCTTGTTTGGCAACTACATATTGAATTTTTGTATTATTATGCTACTTATGTGAAGTTATATAAACATATTTTTCTTTATAAATATTTTTTTTCTCAAACAAACGCGGGTAATGGGTACAAGACGGGTATGCGGGTACTCAGAGGGTACGGGTACAGGGATTAATGTTCATACCCACGCGGGTATGGGGCCGGGTACGGGTATTTTTTTATAATGCGGGTATGGGAATGGGTACTGTAGTACCCTACCCATACCCCTACCCATTGCCATCCCTAGTCTCAAGCAAATTATTTACATAAAGGAAAGTCTTTTTTATTAAAATTAATATTATTAATTCTTTAACTGACATTTACTTATTTGTAAACATTAATTTTAAATATTTTCTATTCGGTAAAATTATTTTTATTAAAAATCATTAAGCCAAAAATGTTTTTTCTGATAAAATAATATTATTGAAAAATATGTATTATCCTGTATATCTACACTTTTATTTCATAATTATTTTTTATTTAATTTTTTATAAGTCATGTTTAAATAAAATACTGAATTATATAAATCAAATAAAAATATTATCATGTTAAAATAATTTTATTTAATGTTATTGAACTTATATTTGTTATTAATATTTAAATTTTAAAATTCTGTTCATTTTCTTACTCGTTTAAATCTATGATTTCAACTAACTTGGTCTATGTACAAATAAAAAAAAAAGTATTTTAAAGCAAAACTGCTTGCAATAAAAATTATTAAAATATTATTACAATACTTTATATAAATGAGAAAAATATACAATTATTTAAAAATAAATAAAAATTCTTATCATTTAATGTTTAAAATTTTTTATATAAATAAACTGCTCAAGTTATTGTTTTAACAAACAAATTAAAATAAAAAGTTATGTAACATTTTAAAAGTTATGTTATTTTTCAAGCGATTACATGATTGTGTTTTTTTTTTTACTATTTATGTGTATCTATATATTTATATTTATAAGTCTTCTATAAAAATATAGTTTTATTAAATACATCGTGTATAAATATATAAAAAGTTACTTTATTTACAAAACAATGTATCAATGTTTTTTTTTTACTATTAATCATGTAATGGGTTTAAACATTGTTTAAATATATATATATTTTTTTTTGCTATAAATTAAATTTTGATTTTAATTTTTATAAAATTATTATTTTTATGTTAGTAACTATATTTTTTTTAAGTAATTAGTTTTGATATTTTTATTGATGTTGTCTAAAAAAAATGACACGATTAATAAAACAAATTAATACGTAATAGTGTCTACATTAATTATGTTGTTAATTAATAATGATTCAAGTTTAAAAAAATTAAAATGTAAATACTAAAATAAAAATAAATATTTTATTGGTGCTAACATTAAAATTAATACATTTTAAAAAGTTAAAAATATATTTAACACTCTAACTATTGTAAAACTATTTTGATAAAATTTGGCCGCAGACGATTCGTATAAGATTTTGAGTTTTCTTATTGATTGATGATAACTTCACAAACTGTTAAATTTGTCTAATACTCAAAACTTTATAATAAAAATCAAATGATTACATTAGGAAAGCTAATACTAAAATAAATTGAACTTTATTTTGCAGATGTGCCGAAAAAGTTGATGAGATTAAAACAGCTATGATATCTTATTTTGAGGATTATTTTAATAGTAGAGGTTGGCTTTGACCTACTATTGATGTTAATGATTTACGAAGAGTCTCTGTTCTACAGAATGAGGGGCTTGTCAATACTTTTTTGGAGGAGGAAACGAGGATGATGATTTTGGAGTGTGAGAGGAATAAAAGTTCAGGGCTTATGGTTTTAATTTTGTGTCCTTAAGAGGTTTTTGGGAGTAATCAAGAAATAAGTGATGGGTATGCTTACTACCTGGTCTTTGTTATCTTACTTTGTAACACTTGTGTCAAAAATGTCTTGCCCACAATAGATATCTGATTTTTGGCTTATCTCATTATTAGGTTGCTTCTATAAGATTGTTTCCAAGCTTTTGGCAAATAGGTTGAAAGGGATTTTAGATTTAATAATTTCAGAGCAACAATCAGCCTTTATCTTAAGAAGGAATATGTTAGATAGTATGTTTGTGGCTAATGAGGCAGTTGATTATGTGCAGAGGCATAACAAGAGATATTTTGTGTTAAAAGCTTAATTATGAAAAGGCTTATGATTCGGTGGAATGAGAATATCTTTTGTTTATGTTACGTAACTTTATATTTTCAGAAAAATAGGTCAGTTAGATGGAAGCTTGTGCGTGAGAGAAAGTCTGTTAGTTTTGATTAATAGTTGTCTTACATTAAAGGTTCATATTAGACGGGGCCTAAAACAAAGGATTCTTTTGCCCCTTTTATTTTTTCTGGTGACAGCGGAAGGATCAGGAGTTCTTATACGGAAGACAGTAACTTGTTGATTGTTTTCTGGTGTGAGAATTGAGGCAGGGAGACCCAATATTTCTTTGCTGCAGTTTGCGGATGACACATTAATTATGAAAGATTTCAATTCAGAACTTATAGACTTTGAAAAAAAGTAATTTTAAATAAATTTTAATTAAATATAAAAAGTAAGAGGGATATAATTTTAAATAAATTTTAACTAATAAGTTAGAATATGTTAAACTGAACAGAAAATGTGTTAGTAGCATTTGGTATTTGAGAAAAATCCAAAACATTTTAAGGAATTAGGAGGGGCGGGAACAACGGGACAGACTGCAAAAGGAGGGAAGGAATAAATAAAAAAACGAAAAAGACAGGTTTTTTAATTTTAATTTTTTGTTTTGTTTTGTGTTTTGGCTACTCTGACTATTATTACCTGCGCGCGACTCCACAACATAGTAACGTTTGAGAATCAGAGGACGAAAATGGCTTCCTCGTTATCATGAACACTTATCTCTTCTTCTTCCAAGTTTGAAGATGCCACGACAACACTCTCCTTCATTCCTTCTCTGTCAAGAACAATACCCTTTCCAACAACATTCTCCCACCAACCATCACTCTTCACCTCTCACTTTGTTCCACAATGATTCCTTCTTCCAACACCATCACCTTCTCTCTCTTTTAGCCAAAGAGAGACCCACCCATTTTCGTTCTCATACCGATGCCACTCTCTCTCCTCGTCAAGATGCCGTTCGCTGGATTTTTAGAGTTTCCTCTCTTTATGCTTTCACTGCCTTGACCACTGTTCTTGCCGTTAACTACTTTGATAGGTCCGTTACCAGCGTAAGGTTTCAGAGTGATAAGCCATGGATGGCTCAGCTCGTTGCTGTTGCTTGTTTGTCTCTCGCTGCCAAAATGGAAGAGACACAAGTGCCACTTCTTTTGGACCTGCAAGTGCGTTTTCTAAATTGAGATGAAACATAGAACTTTGCTAATGTGGCACGTTGTTGCTTTATGTTTTGACGTTGTTTTTGTTGATTTGATTAGGTGGAGGAATCGAAGTTCGTGTTTGAACCAAAGACCATACAGAGAATGGAGCTTCTAGTGTTGTCCACTCTTAAATGGAAGATGAACCCTGTGACCCCAATTTCCTTCTTCCAACATCTTGTTACAAGGCTTGGTTTAAAGAGTCACTTGCATTGGGAGTTCCTCTGTAGGTGTGAACGCGTTCTTCTCTCAGTCATTGCTGGTAAGTACTGTTAATAATTGAGATTTAACATTCATATATTAAACTGAGAATCTGAGATTGACCCGTTTCTCAATTATTTTTTTTCAGATTCAAGGGTTATGAGTTATCTTCCTTCTACTTTGGCTGCTGCTACGATGATCCACGTTATTGAAGAGATTGAATCATTTAATGCATTGGAATGTAGAAATCAAGTTCTTGGTTTACTCAATAGTAGTGAGGTGTGTTTCACTTTAACTTCAATTATTCTTTTACCTGTATTTCATGAATCTACCACAGATTTGATTGACTGATTGGAAATTGAAAATGTTGGTATCGATCTTATAGGAACAAGTGAATGAGTGCTACAAATTGATGCTGAAGAAGTTAGTTTGTTGTGAAGGCATTCACAATCTTTGCCAGAAGCGCAAACGCCTGTCTGAACCAAGTAGCCCAGGTGGAGTCATTGATGCATCTTTCAGCTGTGAGAGCTCAAATGATTCATGGGCTGTGGCATCATCAGTGACACTTTCACTGGAGCCAGTGTTCAAGAAGAGCAAAGTTCAAGAACAGCAGATGCGGTTGCCTTTAGTAAATCACGTGTCTGTTGATGTTCTAAGTAGTCCTCGTTAATAACTTATATTTGTATTATTTAAATATGATGGGTTTATTTGGCACCCCATATAGATCTGGGAGTTATCTTATTGGTGAATTGAATTGTGTTCCTAGTTTTAAAATTGCTGGCTGAACATTTACAACCAAGTGTGACAGAGTGACTCCATTCTTTCACTTTGTTGTTTGAATGGAACAATGATCTGATACTGAATACAAAAATGAAGGATACAACTAAACTGCAGTCCTTGAGGAGCTTTTGTTACCGATCTCCAATTAAAATTGGAATTTCAACAACGTAATCTATGACAATTTTTAATGCCGACTATTATTATGTGGGTTACTAAGGGTAAAATTTTAATTTTGACTGGAAAATCATACCAAATTTTCTAAGGAACTATAGCTAAATTTTGTCCAAAAATGAATTGTTGTTTTACCTGTAGTAAGTGGTGTTGTCCTGTGCAATTTCTACTGTGCATGATATTTCCCAATAAGCTCTATCAAGAGATTTCCTCTGTTTTGTTAATTCCCACTCTCCCCTTTGGTAGTACAGAATAGGAACTACACATGGAGATTAACAGATAAACAGAGATGGGTGTAAATGTCTTTAGTGATAGAGTAGATAGATAAAACAAAACTCTTGTACGTGATCAAACTAGACTCAATAACAATCCTCTGTTATCCATATAACATCCCAAATTTACAAACTAGACTCAATAGGTCTGTATGCTTATATGAACCATTTCCTTTGGCTGAATCAGATATTAAGATCTTCTGAGCCACGCTCAGAATTGAAAATCTTTAATTATAATTCATAGGTCAAGGATTTTGTTAGCTTGGTCAAAATTCATGTGTTCACAGCACTGGACATTGGAATGGATATAGTATAGTTTGGACCTATTTGAGTCACCCTAATTTCTCGCCATTTGTCTCAAAGTTGTTCTTACTAAATTGAGCTCAGTTCTGCATTGTCAATTATTGGCGGAAAAGAATGCAGTTCAATGTGTCAAATGTTTCAATAGAGTATAGTCAGATCAAACTTTTTTTTCTCCTGTTTGACATTAAGTATGAACAAGGGACTTTAAGCAATTCGATGTCTGTGGTTGCAAATAATTTAATGCAGTGTTTGCTGTCACTACCACATTATAGTAATTGAAAATGCAAATCCATATGATAAAAACTTTGACCGTTGTCTAAGCAAAACAGATATTTGTTACGGTTAATAAAAATTCGGTAGTAGGAATTTCATCACGCTTGGTTTGAGCATTTATCATAGTAAACAGCAAATGCATTTTGCCCAACATATATACGGAAAACTTTGGTAACTGCTATGAAATTGACTTCAATATAGTTGATGGCCTTTTGGGAAAATTTTTGTTTTTTGTTTTCGGAGAAATGAATTCTCAAATTTTGAAGAGTCTTGTCTGACTAATATGTTTGAAAAGTTATAATTGAGCTACGTTGACAATGTGGGCACTATTCAGAACAAGAGACCGGTCACCAAAGGACCAAAAGTTTGAAAATGACAAACTTTTGATATTGGGGAAGGGGCGTGGCTTTGTTACTCCTTGTGGTCCTATTTATTTACTTTTTTAACTGAGTTGTTTATGGTCCGCTATATGTTGTGGTTGCATTATGCCTATGTTATGATGGTTTTTAATCCATGGCCAAGGTTTTTCAAAGTGACAGCTATGTACCTGCCAAAACAATTATTCTTGTGATATGATGAGTCTATTTCAGATAGCAATTTGATAGTTGCATGCAATGTCTTGAAATTGGGTTAAGGGTGTCAATATTGGGATCTATAACAAACTCTAAAGCTAACTAAACTTCAAAAACTAACTCATAAGATAAATATTGTTTTAACCTTTATAAACTTTTACTTTACTGTAATTGACGTGAGACTTCAACGAAATGTTTTCTTTAAACTTCGAAGAAGCACTTAAACAACTTAGGTTGTCTTGATTAGTTGGTTATGAATGGTTGTACTTTGACAAAAATAAGTCCTTTTCAGATTTCTTATGGTATCAAAAGAAGATTGCAATATGGTTTAACGCTGTTAGGGAGCTAGCATAGTGTAACTTGGTAGATAGTCTACGTATAGTCTATTAACTTGTTCATGGCCTCGTGTTTTAGAAAAGCTGTAAGCTGTAGGGACCACAATTATGAATTATATGACCGTGAATTGTGTCAAAAGGATTTTGATGTACAACCAAGAGACAGGAGTGTGCACAATGATATCTATAGCAGCTACTAGCATCAAAGCCAATAAGGGGCAAGCATGCTCCTCATGCACGTAATATTAGGTGCCTTGTGATTTTGGTTGAAAGTGCCAAATTTGTGTAAGCCAATTTTGTTTACAAAGACATGATCTACCCATTTTAGGACGCATCTTCCTTCCTTACCTAGCATGCTATGTGATTGTAGAGCAATAGTCTAGCCACTTAATTATTAGGCTTTACTCGTATGTTAAAGGGAAATGATCAAGTGCTTGGCACCTTCACATCAAGCTATAGCTCGGTCATGCAGTGAATTATCCAAATCTAGACGGTAACCATGCCACTCTAAAGTTGTTTTTACCATTTTCCATACACATATTTAAAAATAACCAATAAAATAGTACTTTTAATTTCTGAAGTCAAATAGACCCTTAGATTTCCAACTAAAAAATAACCAAAAATAAAAATAAAATCTTATTGATGATATTAGTCTGTTATATCAATTTATGGGTTAAAACTAGCACAATCTAATTTATGCACGGTTTAATTAAATATTTTATTAATAATCTTATTATATAAGTGTTTATAAGTTTAACTATAAATTTTCATGAAATAAGTTAAAAAGAGTATATATAAGAATATCAAAAAGTCACTTTAATAAGTTTGAACTTTGTAGTAACTCTTCCAAATATGGTTTCTCACTCTAAAAGCCTTTATTTTGGACCACTGAAGACTTAAGCTGTTAGACGAAGGTACATGAAAAGTTTATTATATCTTTGACACACTCTTCATGCAATAATCCCTTGGACTTGATGCGGAAAGAATACCTATGCCCACCTATCATGTGTTGAAATTCAATTTTTTATTTAAATAATGAAGCCAAGGTCCCTCGTATCATGAATCGATTATTCCAAACCAAAACTAAACCTATTAGGTAAAGACACACGAATAGTTTTATATTACATTCCAACGTACACATGTTGCTGAAGTTAAAGACAGATTGGGAAGAAGTGGGTATATATATATATAAATTTTTTTTTGCATGCAATTGTTGTTGAAATCTATATATTTCATTGGCAAGGCCTTCAAGCAGAGATCGGTAAAACACCAACAGTCAAACAAAAGTTATTTGTCGACCAAAAAACAAAAACAAAAATTATTTTCTTCTACTATTATTGAACACTATCAAAATGATTCATTGCTGTCTTTTACAGTAGAGTTGTCAACATCTGCTGCTCTATGCATAAACATACCGTAGATATTATTTTATGCTGCAGTGGGGGTGTACACAATACTCCTCAGCAGTGTAATACTTACATGCGTTGAATTTATATCATATATCACAGTGATTGATATTATAGTTGGTTCAAAGTTCAAATAACAGATAATACTCATATTTATCCCTATAAGCGGAGGACATATTTTACGTATTATAACAAAGTTTCAATATTCATATCGAAGAAGATCAGAAAAACACTCTGAGCTTGGTTCATCTTGCCTTGTTTATGTGACTGGATAACCAATCTAGCCCTTCATAGAGTCCTTGGCCAGATGTGGCACAAGTTGCTTGGATGTACCTGCACAAATCAAAGATTAGCTAGAATAAGTTAATTCAACACTGTTCACTTCTTCTCGTGTTGTTATTTGTGGGGATATAATAAGGTAAATTGCTCTAGGTCTAATTTCTAATTAGGCTTGCTTGCAAATGGATTACGACATAAACTCAATATGATTTATTATATGATTCAAGTTTTTAATTTTAAATACATGCCTTAGAGCTTCACATAAAGATTTGTTGTAATTAAGATGTGACTTACCAACGCCGCAGGCGAAGGGAATGTAAACCAAGTTTATCTGTAATTTCTGAAACGCTTAATGCATTTGGAAGGTCTTGCTTATTGGCAAATACCAATAAGATAGCATCACGAAGTTCATCCTGCAATGCTTATGATTATCAAGATGATAGCAACATTTTTTACTTTTATGTCGAAAGGAAAAGCTTGCATTTTTCAAAATTTGAAGGTTACAAAATCAAGGTGTTATATACATATGAGAGATATCATACTGCAGATAAAAGCTTAAGTAACTACGATTCAAATCTATTGAAAAATTACTAGACTAAGAAAAATTACCGACCTCACTCAGCATTCTATGTAGCTCATCTCTGGCTTCTGAAATTCTTTCTCTATCGTTACTATCTACCACAAAGATAAGACCTTGGGTATTTTGAAAGTAGTGTCTCCACAATGGTCGAATCTACATACAATTTTGCATAGATATGAGAGTAGCATTTGTAACGTGTGCTTGGGATGTTATGATAATTTTACTAATGACCCATAGAAAATATAATGTTCTGGCAAACACTTAACAGGCAGACATTCCCTAATAACTAAGATTAGGCCAGAAAATCACAAAGGATAAAATTTATATGGTATTTTTGTACTATTTTGTAATTAAAATTATAGTCTTTCATAAAAGTTCCATATTGATTTTGGAAGTAAAACTTCGAACTACAATACTAAAAAGCATTTAAAGTTATTGTATTTAAATTTTATCCCATAACATATACCTTGTCCTGTCCTCCCACATCCCAGACGGTGAAGCTGACATTTTTGTACTCAACAGTCTCCACGTTGAAGCCTAATTCATCCAAGAAATAAAATATTGTAAAAGATGAAACAAAATATTTTCAAGGATTTGAGATCAACCAACCTTGTGTTGCCCTACACCTTATTTCTAAAAGAATATTATGTTTGTCTTAATTAGTAACGTAAATTAATCTTATTTTAAATTTTCTTGTTTATTCACGTCAACTAATTTATTTTGTAAACTTGAATCATGGCCCTTAATTTGTGCAATACGTTAGATCAATTTTAAAATTAATTACCATAATCCAAAGTGCGAAATGAAAGAAGATTGCATATATCCGATATTAAAAATGAAAATATAAGTATACAACGCCTACAAATTCACCTAACCCGAAGTAGAATTTCCTATATATTTAATACCGATAGAGTTGGGAACTGCTCATAAACGATGGGCTAAAGAACGTGTGGAGAAGTGTGAAGACTAGAAGGAACCTATTGTGGGTATTGTAGTGACGATTTCTCCAAGTTTCAGTTTGTAGAGTATAGTCGTTTTCCCAGCTGCATCAAGACCCACCATGAGAATCCTCATTTCTTTCTTCGCATAAAACAATCTCATCAGCCGTGACACCGTCAAACCCATTGTTGCCTCTGTTTCAAGCAAAATTTGAGCTGAAAAAACAACTTTTAAAACTAAACCGAGAAGAGTAAAAAACGTAATTAACTTAGAATTCTTCTCATACCAAAAAAAAAGCCTTGGAATTCTAGTTTTTTTTTTTTAAAGTGTGATGCAGAAGAGGAAGGTATAATTTTCCTAAAAAATGTATTTTTGTTGAGAAGCAGAGGAAAGATAAAAGTTAATCAATTCTTCGTGCATTATATAAACAAGAGACCAGAAAATAACACCAGGCATCAATACTGCAGTAAGAGAAAGTGAGAATAGGATTCGCATGTAATTGCTGAAAGAATAAAGGGTCGTGGTTTTGATTGAGGCCATTTGTGAATGAATGGTGGGCATGCAATTTGAAGTCATGGGTAACAGAAAAAGAATAGTGATTATTTCATGCTCTTAGACGGGATGTATGTAAGACGGGTGTGGAAAAAAAGATTAAAAGAAAATGAAAGAATGAACATAAAAAAGTGAGATATATGATAGGAATAAAATATAAAAAAATAATGAATGTAAGAAATTTGAAGTTGATAGAAAAAACACTGGTCTGAGATTCAGCTGCAAGTTGGAAAGCAAAAGTGATAATGTGATATGAATTCCCTGTCTCATACGTGAGATTCGAATGGCACGGTACAGAAGTTAGAACAGCGTGAAAATTAAGCATTCGAACATGTCTTTTCAGACATCTGTATTTAAGCGCGCTAAGGGCACAACTATTTAGCCACTTCATGCCGCTGAGACTGCAGAAGCAACAAACCACTGCTGTTTATTTTATTATTTTATAAACTAGTCTTTTTCTAACAAAAGAAAAAACAGGGATCTATGGGATCAATTCGATACAAAATACATCCTTGACGCCAGTTTGTCCATCATGGTCTTTAAGCTTATAGGACAACTAGCACAATAGCAATACAAGAATAAATTCACACGCTGCCAAACCTATGTCCTTGCCTAAACAAATTGATCATAGGACGTTCCATAACTACGTTACTTTTTGGATATAGCATCCTTGGCAGACTGTAGAGTGGACGCCACCGCAGCAGCAGCACCAGCGAGAACACCACCACTGGTGGTCGAACGGGGCTGGTGAATTACCTGCACGTTCCTCTCTGCTTGCCCTTGCCCTGCCGAAGATCGATAGTCCACAGTTTCCACCTTTCTTTCCGCGGGGTTTTGTGCATTCAGAGTCTCATTCTGACACAAGAATTCATGCACATTCATTTACTATGAGGACTAAAATTTACAGAAAAAAGGTGGAGTAATACTACCTTCTTCGCTTGTTCATTCATGTTGATCCAAGTAAATTAAATTCTAAAAACCACTTGCCCTGAGGTGATTCGAATTGAGACAACATAAAACTCAGGTTTTTAAGGAGAGTCTGGGGTGATTATCAGGTCTATCCAGGAATGACGATAAAGAAGGCGGAGTAAAAGGGTCACCATAACGACGACGCACCCTACATCACTCCGTATTACATGCCTTCCCATCCGATTCTTGGATTAACCAATTTTCTAATAATATTTTGGAATGTCTAATGATAATCGAGTAACATTCATTTGATTGCGTCGTTCTATATCTATTTATATCCAAATTTTCTAATTGAGACAGAGTAGGGGGTGTCATGTTTCGATCACCATGAAATCAAGTTTGTCGCTACCTTCACTGACACAGATTTGTGCGTCATGTTTTCATCACCAAACTCACGTTAATAAGTGACAGTCAACCCAAATTCAGATATGCAATTTGCTGCTAATTGTAAATGGATTTTGATCTAAATAACGAAAAAATGCTGAAAAATTAAATAAAGCCAAAGTCGTAGCACAAGCCTGAAAATTATTTAGCTGGATTCAGAAACATCACATTTTGTTTAGACAACTACAAACTTTGTAAAGCAATATATCTTAATCATGGCCTACTTTTTCCTGGATTGACTTATATCATATCCAAAACAGAATTCTCTATTGAACGCCTAGTCATAAGGTGTGATCAATTCACACATTTAACAGGAACTGGGACGAAGATAGTTTTCCAAGTTTCTAATTGAATTAACAACATAAGGTGATCCCTGATCCCTCCTTAACAAGTCATAAGAGGTGACTCGCTACAGCGAACATCTGAAACATCTGAAAGCCTCTGTCTGGGAGACAAAGTTGCGATGCCAGTAGCATCAAAGTCAAGATTGGCTATATTCTTTCTCTTGTGAGTTTCTGAACTGCATTTCTCGTCGGAAGCCTCAGCAATGGGGCTCAATCCTTCTATTTCCTTATGACCAACAGAAATCATAGCTTGAGCTTCAGCTACAGCTGTTCCATCGTCATCAGTAGCATATAATATCTTCTGTATTGCTGCAACAACCTGAATCATCAACCACAATCAAACCCGTTACCAAATATTGGTTTTACGAGTCAAAGTAGAAAGTTGGAAAGCACGGTACCGGTGAGTGTTCTATCTCAGGAACCTGGCATAGTATCTCAATGTCTCTCAGTTTTGCAAAGTAGAAATCTCTTTCCTTCTCAAGGCTATCAATAGATAACTTCAACTCCGTTATCTGCATCAACTTCAACAGATGAGTAATAAACAAACATCATTCATTTGAAAATTTTTCAGATGTGAAAACAGTAGTACCTGTTCTTCATATACAGGGCCTGCTGCAGAAGGAGGTCTCGTGACCTTTGCAGCCTGATTTGCAGCGTTTGCAGTAGAGACATCATTTCTTCGAGCATTATGGGAGGATTGAGGTCTCTGTGCAGTAGCACCTTTGGTTGAGGATTGGGAATTTGCCGATTTCTTGCTCACTTCTCTTCCTCCCTTGCAAACCTCCCTTCTCTCCAGAGGATTATAACTAAAAACGAGAAGCACGTGTAACAATTTTCCAAACATTCAGCATCCAATATTTAAATTCAATTAAACTTAAATCATATTTATCGCCAGTATAAAAAATTACGTTAATCATAAACCCTAATTTTCAATCGTAAAGAACTATGCGACGCAAACAAGGTCAATTTCAGAGAATTTCAATTACTTGTGTCCAGAATTGACAGAATCACAGTATCTTTTCATCCATTGCATGAACTCCAGGTTATCGAGTGGCCTTCCTTTCACTAGCTTGCTGACCTCGATGTGCTGAGAAAAACAACGAACAATTCACGAATTGAAGATCAACCATGGATAACAGAGATTCAAGTGAAAGACGAGAGAGAGAGAGAGAGTTACCTTAGTGATCTTGAGTTTGTTGAAGACATCCTGAAGGACCTTGTAGTTCTGAATCATCTCGTACTCGTTCTTAGCATCGAAATTGACCTTGTGCATAGGCACGATCCCTGGGTGGGCGGCATCCATAAGCTGGCAATGGACCGCACCGGAACATGCCTGAAAGTTTGACGATACCATCAAATAGATCTGATAAGTAGGCATCGATCAAAACCTGAAAAAATGAGATCGGAAATTAAACAAACCTCTTCGACTTTGGACAGATTGAGTTGGAGAGTGGAATTGATCCACGAAAGAATCTCCGATCGGCCAACGAAGTAAGCTGAATCCATGATCCCAATGTTAGTCGCCATTTCTCTGCTTCACTCGTTGTTTCTTTTCCTTTCGGATTCTCTGTTATCTGATAACGGCTATTTCACGAAGAAACAGAGTTCATATATTATATGGACACAGGAGCGGGAGTTTTTCAAATTCAAAATTCACTCATTGAGTCTTAATGTGGGAACACGGCACGTTGTCTTCATTAGGAATCGTCGCAAGGTTCGCCTAAGCTGAATACTGTTCGAACAGTTTGGGTTGGGCTTCACCCATTCGTTTAAGCTATTGGGCTATAAAGAAAACATATTGTAAACTGGGCTTTGAATTCTGACGTTAGCCGTCATTATGTGCATTATTTTCTTCATTTTGTTAAAAAGTGAAAAGTAAACATTTTCATTATCACTTTCAAAACATCAAAGTAAATGTGCAAAATAAAGTATACATACCATGTATTTAACATTTTTATTAATATCAACTTTTAGACTTAATTTTAAATAATTAAAAGTATATACATTATAATTTATTTAGTATAAAATGCATTTTCTAATAGAATACTTTTATTTTTATTACTTAAAATTGCTATGGAAGACTAATATTAACAAAAGTATATTTTTATTGAATAATAGCACTGCAAAACACCTAATTCTTTGTACTGAACTTCTACCCTTTTTCTAACCTCCAAATGTAAATTGGATTTTTTAATTTAATTTTTGTTATTTAATCTCTAATTTATAAATCTTGTTTAATTTGTTTTTTTATTTTTTCAAAATAACCATAAAACATGAATTAAAGTAAAAATATTTCTTACAAATTTAGAATCTAATAAATAATTTTTAAGATTTTAAAATCTAAAAAATTTGAATTAAACAAAGTCAAAGATTACTTTAAAAGCTTACATATTAGTTACAAAAAACAAAAAAACAAAAAGTTGTCTCGTATTCCCACAAGCACACTACTTATTTCCTCTAAATCAAATAAAACAATAAAAAGTTATAAAAACAAACAATATAATAATAATAATAATAATAATAATAATAATGAAGGGAAATAACTCTTGCGTGTGGAATTTTTTTTTTCATTTTAAAAAATATGTATTTTAATCTATTGTATAAGAATCTATTATCTTTAAAATAAATAAAATTTTAACTTTCTTCTCTTAAAAAGATAGTGCATGCTTTATTTTAAATTTGTTTCTTTCAAATATTACATTCAAATTCTTTGAAATTAATTAACATATTTTCTTACCTATGTTTTGAAATACAGTCTGAATTTTATTTACCAGTTTGAGTATTTTACATAAAATAATATAATTTAATTTAAAAGTATAAATAGAAATAATAAAAACCTACATATAGTTTACGAAATAAATAAAAGATTAAAATAATATAAATTTGATTCTTAGGAAATGAGTTATGCAGAAGCGTGAATAATAATCACATTCCATTGTCGAACAGCACGCCACTTGGGCAGTTATGATGGTGGAATTAGTGGGAAATGAACTGTCCATTAAAGTTAAAACCATTTTCTTGCTACAATATCTCTCCACTCTTTTTTAACTTTCACCGTTTGTGATATTGATTTGATAAGGATAGATGCCAGCTTAAAATGTCAATTATTGCAAAAACAAAAGAAGAAAAGAGCTTAACGGATCTCATTCATCCAAAGGAGCAAGTTGGCTGTCGTATTGGTTATTCTATAACTCTAACCACAGATTATTAGACTATTCCGTTGCCGTTTTGTTAGTTAAGACCCCCTGAAAACGACACTACAACCCCGCACCGCTTCTCGTTTTGCTACCCGCATATATATATATATATATATATATTCATGCAAATATCTCAAAAGACTGAATAACGACAACAATCTTTTATACTACGCTAAGCAAGAGAAACATGAGAATGAAAAAGTTGGTTCTTTAAAAGATTATGTTAATTCGGCGGGTTCATAATTAGACAAATATCAGCTTCTCTTTTTTGCTCATAATCCAATAAGTGTATTTTAAAAAAAACTTAAAATAAATAAATTCAAGTAGAAACTAAAATATAAAGTTTTATAGTTTTAATAATTACAAATATAATTAAATCAAAATAATTAACGCGTAATAAAAAAATTGAACCAGGCTTAATTATAACCTAAATTTGATGCTGCTGAACTATTCTGTTAAGCGCCGTCAAAAACATTGTAAACTGAATTGCTTAACTTTCATTGAGTTAACTTGCTCCAAACCTTATTTTTTATTAGACTAAATAAAAATTTATTTGAGACAACAAATAGAAATTTTTTAAGTCCAGATAGAATTCGCATTTTAAACCTCATTTTGGACGTAAACGGACATCAAAACTCGTTTTTATCTTAATCATAATGGGGAAAGATTTCCTATTTTTCAAGTTGAGAGGATTTATTGCAATATTCATAGTTTAATTAACAAAACAAATTTGAGTACAAAAGACATTTTCACCATTTAGCTCTCAAATTTAATTCCTCACATTTTGTACTATTTCAGCTTTTGAGAACCTTAGATGGAGAAAATATTCAGCCACTAATATTTTAAAACAATAAATATATAAAGAATTGTAATTACAATTATGCAATATATTTACTTAAATAAAATGTTATAAACCATGTCAATGTAAGATTAATTTCTTACGTGCATGATACACGTTTGGATAAATTGTTTGACTATAGACTTATTTAATAAAAGCTTATCATACAATAATTTATTCATAAGATTAACTATGAAAGTTTATAAAATAAAATAAAAGAACTTATCACAAAGTTATGTCATTTTTTACTTCAATTATGTGAATTTAATTTTTTTCAAATGCTCCTACTAGTTTTTGTCTACTTGTTGGTCGGAAAGAGTCCCTGATTTTAATGTCGAAGGTTCTATATTTTATAGTGTTAGTATTAGTACCAGTAAATTTTCATAACTATATAAATTTGAAGGGTATGGTATAGTTAGGTTTTTTGTTGTTTACGTTTGGAAGGAAGAAAATCTGAACTTTGTTTAAACATTTGTCATGGATAAATTGGAACTTAGGGTGCAAATAAATAAGTGAAAGTGCATATTTAAAGTTGACTTTTATTTGTAGAAAAAAAGTTGAAGTTTGACTTTTTTTTTTAATGAATTAAAGTTAAAAGTTGAACTTGTTTGATTTATAAAAACTAAAATTTAAACTTAATTTATTTGTGATTAAATTATTTTCTATCAAATTTTACTTTTTAAACTTCACTGGATAATTTAATATTTATCATATGTCAATAAAAAATAATAATAGCAATTTTTTTTTCTCTTTAGAAAGAAAATAAAGAGACCGTGAAACTTTATTTTCATTTTATCAAAGTTATAAGTGAGTTACGAATTTAATTAAAATTAAAGTTAACTTTATTTGGAGTACTCATGTTCGAGTTAAGGCTGTTTATAAGTCAAGTGTGATTGAATTTAAGCTAAAATCATTAGATCTGAAGACAACCGTCAAATGAAAATTTAAGTTTGTTTTTACCCAACTTTGATCTATGATTCTTTAAGTGGTGAGTAGTTGAATTCAAAGATTTTTGAGTGAGTTACATTAAATTATGTTCTTTCCACCATTGTCACCAAAAATGCTAAAAAGAATTACTATTTACTTGTACTAAAAGAGAAATAAGAAGAAACGTAGAAAATTTGCGAATAAAAGAAACATGTAAATTTAATGAAGTGATTATGTTCTCTCCCTTTTTCTAAAACTTGTTTCTTCTTCATCTTTCTCATTTTTATTTTCTTCTTTTCTCTCTGCTTTTACACATCATCTCGATGAATTCATATGATGACCACCATGTTGAACGTTGTAGTGTAAAAAACAGAGAAGAAGAGGAATTAGAGGTAAAGAGGTGCAATGCAATCAAGCATATCACATGGAACAAAGAGAGGAAAAATTAGTACCGAGGCAGTAACTAGCTAGAGAGTGACAAAAAGAGCAGAATAAAAAGCGCACAACAAAGATGCAAGAGAGATGGAATGGTGGAATAAAAGATTAGATATAGGAGAGGAGCAGATCAGGGTTTCTAAAAAGAATCCCTCCCTTATATGCATTGTTAGGCTGGTCAAGTATCTTGAAATTGAATCTAACCAATCTGTATCCACTTTCATGAACCCAATTTAAATTGTTAATTTATATCCACTTTTACCGACTAATTTTCATCTCCCCAATTTTGATTTCAGTTACTTTAACTCTTTCAGATTTGAACAAGTTTGATAAAACTACCTGTCCCTAATTTGAAATAGTTCTCCTCATCAAACTCCAAACAATGATTTAATTGTTAACCATTCAAAGGTTGATTTGGTTATTAACCATCCAAACGTGTTTAATAAAAAATTAATATATGTAAACTTTTATTATATGTCCTTAAATATATAATTTTTTAAAAAAGACTACTGGGTTCCAGAGAAAAAGCATCGTGCATTTGGTGCTTCCGTCATGTTTGATGCCGATGTTTTGGACGCTTTCGATATTGTAATAAAAGCAAGAAAAGAAATTTCACGTTCTCCACTATAAATCAACTTGTAATTTCCTGTTGATCATTTTCCTGACATTTTGGTTGGTTTAGACAAGTTTTGGATTATGACTCCTACACAGCACAAGATGGAAGTGTCGCAGCCCACGGTTTTTCTTTCCATCCAATATTATACAAAGCCTATTTTTTATACGTTAAGCAAAATTCATTAGGTGTATTTTTCTTGTCTTCAATTCTTAGCATTTAAACATTATCTTATATTTTAATGAATTTGAGAAAAATTCAGTGATTTCTTCTAAAGGGATAACATTCTCCCAATTGGTTATTGTTTAATTGATTGCACATTTCCTTTGTTTAAAATTGAGAGAATTAAACACGATAAAAACATTCGTAATACAATACAATGAAATAGAATAAAGTATAGTATCAAATGAAAGATAGTCTTTAACCTTTTATGTTAAATAAAATTAATATAAATTTTTAAAAATATAAAATTCATATAATTCTCACACACGACAGGTTACCCTTCAGCAAAGGAAAAGGGGGGGAGTCTAAAACAAAAATATTAATACATATATTA